TCGTGTTGATGCCGGTCCCTCTTTTCCCGTCCCTTGTTCCCTGGGAGCAGAGACCAGCCCCCTCCTGGCTCCATCCTCCTGTCAGGCAGTTGCAGAGAGCGATAAGGTCCCCCTGAGCCTTCTCTTCTCCACACTAAACCCCCCAGGTCCCTCAGCCCTTCCTCATCACACTTGTGCTCCAGGCCCTGCTCCAGCTCCGGTGCCCTTCTCTGGACCCAAGAGCCTGTCTGCACCCTGCTGCTCACAGATGAAGTCAGAGCCAAACAACAAAGCACGTCCAACACTCCAAACTTGTTGGGTTTGGATTTCTCTTGCTGTCTGCTGAAGTCAGAGGGAGCAGCAGGAGATCAAAGAGCCACAGAGTGCAATGTTTATTAACCACAACTCAATTATGAGATGAAAACAAAGGGCTCTGCTCTTTCTCTTCTTGCTCTCCTCACAACCCAGCTGCAGCCTTCCAGCTATTCCCTGCTGCGTGTTGCAGGGCAGGGCTGAGGGAGTGCTGATTTGGCTATCTGGCTCTGCTCAAAGGCCTCCCTCCTCATTCCAGCACTCCAATCTCCCATTCGTAACTGTTCTCAACGCCTCTCCCCAGGCTGCCACCTCCTTTCTGCCTTCCCTACAGTTTCACATACTTTCCCCCCCAAGCCACAGCAGCCAAACAGGACTTTCCTCATGAGCAGGCCAAGAACGAACCCACGACCCTGGCACACACAAAGGATGTTTTCAATTTTGCTTTCACTCCCTGACATTTACATGGAGGCAGAAAGTGCCTCCTGGCCCGAGACTCTCATTCAGGGAGAGTTTGGACTCCAGAGGTCACAGTCTGCTCACAAAGATGCCCTAAAGGCTTGTCATGAAGTGGAAGGGATCCTTCCCAGCTCCCAGCCCCTCACACGTGGCACTGCTGCCTGTTTGCCACTGGCTTCCTCAGCTCCCTCTGAAGCATCTCAGCCTCCAAGTGCAGACTAGTCCCAGCAGGCTCTTACTGGTGCCTCTTCTCCCCTGCCCCGCTCACCACCTCCCTCTGTAACCACTTCAAGGCACATATTCTAATTAAACTGGCTTATTGTCTTCTCCACTAGGATTTCTCCCCCAAAACAGTAACCCAAAGTTTCTCTCTTTGCAGTGAGACTTTCAGAAGTGTCCAAGGCCAGGTTGGACACAGGGGCTTGGAGCAACCTGCTCTAGTGGAAGGTGTCCCTGCCCGGGGCAGGGGTTGGAGCTGGAGGAGCTTTAAGGTCCCTTCCAACACAAACCAGGCTGGGATTCTCTGATTCTATGGAAACATGAATGATTTATCAGCTGCAACCTCCCCCTCAAGGCACCAGCTGTGAGCAACACTCAGGACTGAATTGCACACAGTTGGAAGTATAAGTGTGTTTTGGGGAAGTATTTCTACATGTTCATGCTTCCCTGAGCTGCTGCTGCGGGATAAAGAGCAGCACAGACCTGGTCTGAGCCACTACAGCCACTGTAACATATGGGAATGAGAGGGGAGCTTGACTGATACTGCCAAGGTCACAACTGATGTTTGGCTGAGGAGGATGGGAAGAAGATCCACGTCTCTGGTCCCAGACCAGTGATGCAAGATACTTGGTTGATGGTGGTTTTGGTGGACAGCACGACAAACACCATGTGGAGTGGGGTCACTCAACCACACACCCCATTAGCTCACTACATGGAACCATGGAATCAACCAGGTTAGAAAAGACCTTCAAGCGCATCCAGTCCAACCATTCCCAGCAGTGCCAAGGCCACCACTAACCCCTGGCACTGAGGGACTTGTCTACCCGGGGTGTGAACACTTGCAGGGACGGTAACTCCAGCCCTGCCCTGGGCAGCCTGTTCCAATGCCTGAGCACCCTCTGGGCAAGGAATTGTTCCTCAGCTCCAGCTAAACCTGCCCTGGGGCAGCTTGAGGCCATTTCCTCTTGTCCCATCCCTTGTTCCCTGGGAGCAGAGCCCAGCCCCCTCCTGGCTCCATCCTCCTGTCAGGCAGTAGCAGAATGCACGAAGCATTTCTGAGTGCAGGAGGTATAAATAACAGAAGCCCAGAGCTGATGAAGTGCTGTCTTACCCAGTCTATGGGCTGTTAGAGCAGTGGTGTCTGCTAACTCCAACACAGAGAGATGCTGCAGATTAGACTCCCTGGAGAAGAAAAAAAAGCCATCAGTGAAGAGACAACAAAACGCCTCCTGCTTTAATTGTGCTCATTGTTCAACTCGGATGACTCCTACTGCTGGAAAAGGCAACAGCCCCAGAACAGCGAGACCTCACATGGCACAATGAGCACAAGGCAAAGAGTCAGCTCAACACACAGCAGGAGCAAAACCACCCTCCCCAGCACAACCTGACTCCCCGAGCGATACTCCCACAGCAACCACCAGCTTTTCATATCAGGAAGGGCATTTCAGGTGGGTTTAGCACGAATCTACAATCAAAGGCAGAACGGGCAGGGCAGAGACTTACAGGGTGTCCACAGGGACGTCGGAGGCCAGGCACTGGCTTGCCCACCTGATCAGGTAGTAGGAGAGCAGCAGGGGAGAGGTGCGGTGCAGCAGGTCCTGCTGGGACTGGAACAGTTGTCCCCCTCCCAAAACCATCTGCAAGCAAAGCACAAGGGCTGGAACACCAAAAGCAATGGCAGGATAATGGCAGTCATTGAGGTTTGGGTTTGTCTCTCCTGCAAACACCGAGGTGGTTCACAGCCCAGTAGGTAACAAAACCACTCAGGAGACCAGCGGCGTCTTGTTTGTGCCAGAATAACCCAGTCACAAATTCCAGTGTCAAATCATAGAATCATGGAATCGTTTGTGTTGGAGGGGACCTTAAAGCTCCTCCAGCTCCAACCCCTGCCCTGGGCAGGGACACCTTCCACTAGAGCAGGTTGCTCCAAGCCCCTGTGTCCAACCTGCCCTTGGACACTGCCAGGGATGGGGCAGCCACAGCTTCTCTGGGCACCCTGTGCCAGCGCCTCAGCACCCTCCCAGGGAAGAGCTTCTGCCTTATCTCCAACCTATATCTCCCCTGTTTAAGTTTACACCAATTCCCCCTTGTCCTATCACTGCAGTCCCTGATGAAGAATCCCTCTCCAGCATCCAAGTGTCCAGTGTCACCTTGGACCAAGGGGTGAATTAACTATTCTGGTGGCCCAAACCCCGAAGGGAAAGGTGAACAAGCAAAGCTGTGTGTGCACAAGTGCTTCTCCAGCCTGCAAACACCAAAGAAAGGTGTAACCACATCACCAAGAACAAAACCACTTTGCTGCAGAGACCACACAGGGCCCAGTCCTCCTGCCCCAGTGTTGCATCCCCACAGGCTCCAGCCAAAGAGAAACAGTTCAGGCTTGTGAAGGACATGAGTATGTCAAGGTGGCAAAACAGCAGCTCCTGAGTGAGCAAGCAGCAGGTCACATGTGGTCTGTGAGAGCCTGGCTCCAGAAGGGCACCTTGCAACAGCTTTAAATGCTGCCAGAGCAACCTTATCCCAAACCATTCTATGTCCAGACCATACTATGATTCCATTCTATGGTTTTCCAGTGCCTAAATGGGCTCCAAGAAACCTGGAGAGGGGCTTTGGACAAGGGCCTGGAGGGACAGGACAAGGGCAATGGCTTGAACCTGCCAGAGGGGAGACTGAGATGAGCTCTTGGGCAGAAGCTCTTCCCTGTGAGGGTGCTGAGGCGCTGGCACAGGGTGCCCAGAGAAGCTGTGGCTGCCCCATCCCTGGCAGTGTTCAAGGCCAGGTTGGACACAGGGGCTTGGAGCAACCTGCTCTAGTGGAAGGTGTCCCTGCCCGTGGCAGGGGTTGGGACTTGGAGGAACTTTAAGGTCCCTCCTCACACAAACCAGTCTGTGACTCTATGATGATTATCCAGGAGGAAGGAGATTTCTTTTCAACCAAGCAGCTCCTGCAGTAGTGTTTCCAAGGTAAATAGTATTAGTTTAAACAACACTCCCTTTTGTCTGGGGACTCGTTCCACATCCCTGCGTCCACCCAAACCCTCAGCACCTTCCCTCAGATGGCCACATGCCCAACAGGATGGACCCAGCCCATTCCACGACCATAAACTCAGCTACCATCACAGTGGCTGTTTGCACTGACTGGAACAGCCTCAGAGAGGCCAAAACCACGGCCTGTGGGTAAACACTGGTGCCATGACACGGTCATCGTGTGCGCGCTGGCGTGGGAATGGGGAAGAGATGGAGAACTGTACGTGCTCAGGCAACGCTGTCGCAGATGGGAGGCTGGAAACAATGCCTTTCTCCCACAAAAAGAGGTTTAATTCCTGCTTTCTGGATGCTCAGCATGGAAAGAGCGAGCTGGGGTGTGAGCTTTGCTTAGGATGACAAAAGCCAACAGGGCTTGCCCAAGCCTGGGGCTAGTTCAACCAGTGCTTTGTGGGAAGAGACAGAGCTCCGAGCCTGGCACCAGCAGAACCCAGATCCCCGAGTTCAAAGAGAGCACAGCAGTAGCTCCAAGGGCTGTACTCACAGGATCTCCAAGGCGAAGGAGCAGCTGCTGGAGGACCAACAGGTCCCGACAGATCAGGAAGCGGATGGTGGCGACCTTACACACCCCCCAGCAAACCACGCTGCCAGCGGTAGCGCTCCCGTAGAGCTGGGTGAGGTTCAGGCGCATACTTAGGTGATGAGCTGGAAGATAAAACCACCCAGATAAAGGGCAGGAACTAGACCAACAAGAACACTTGCTGGAGCTGCTGCTTGCCCAGCCTGGATGTGCTGCTGAGGAGCTTTCACCTCTTTCCATGTCAGCGTCCGTCTCGTAGTCCATTTCTCGGATGAGCACTCCGATGGCATGGATGGGGTTTCTGATCTCCTGCAGTTTGCTGTGGATATCTTCCATCACATTCTCCCTACAAAGTGAGGATCATCAGCATCAACGTGAGATTTAAGCTCAAGAAGGCTCCCTTTCCTCCTTGGGTTGTATGAGATCAGCCTGGACATTCTTGATGGGAAACCTCTTCTGGCTTGGAGTTTTATTACAGCGCCTGCAGGGACTGGTCTATTTATTCCACTCCCCCAGGCTACCAGGAAATAGCAGGCAGATAGCTGGCATTCCACAGGGGAATGATTCCAGGAGGTTAGCACAGTAACCACACCGCTTGACCAAGGCTCTGACCTCTACCTAGTGTCTGCAGGCACTTGCTTTCCACACTACAATAATCACCTAACAGGAACTTGTTCCTCTTTATCTCACCTGAGAACCACCAGCATTTATTTCCTAGAGGGCTCCAGGCAATAGCAAGGGGGTTCTAGAGGGAAGACCCCACTAATGCCACCAATACCCACACTCCCCATCTCTGAGGGGACCTGGGAAAGTCCCTTCTTGCACAGGGAAAGCCCACACAGCTCCAATGAGCTTTGATGCCGATGGAAGATGGCTCCAAGGCAATCCCTGCTCAGGCATCCTGGTGTCCCCGCAGGGGAGCTTCTGCAAAAGCATCTCCTTACGTGTCATTAGCTATCAAGTCCTCCAGGATCTGCTCTGCAGCCTTTTCTGGAGGCTGGAGGCGGGAGCAAGCCATTTCCATGAGGAAAGCCATTTCCATGGAAATTGATTCTCCGATCAGGCGAAGGCACTGGACAAGACAGACAACATCACGAGACATCTCCAAATCTGTAATGAAAGAATCTAACTGTATATTTACAAGAGATTTCAAAGGGAAGGTGGGAGGACCATCAAAAACCAGTTAGTTCAGCTCCCAGCAGCAGATTGGTCTCAGTCCCACACGCTAAAATGACCCTTCCCTAACTACGAGGCCAAATTAAAGCTTAGGAGTTAACAAGGGAAAGATTTGAGCTTTATTATTTGGAAAGTAGAAGCCAGTGATGCAACAATAAAGCAATGAAATTCCCTCCAAGGGATTTTCTGCCCAGCCACAGGTTGAAAGGAAATCATTAGTGCAGTGTAAGAGCAAAAACCAGCCCGGAGCAAAGAGCTCAGCTTCGCTCTGCCACGCAGAGCACACTAATAACAGCAGCTCCCTACTTGCTGCAACAGCCCAGGGAGGATTTTTGCCTTCTTAGAGGGGAGCTGAAAGCTCGGCCCAGTGCAAATCCCCATTTTGCAGTGCAGTCCTTCATCCATGTGTTTTTACAATCACATTTGGGGAGCAGTTTGAAGCAGACAAAGCAGGGACTCTGAGCCTCCCAACGCCAGCCCAGGCCAGCTGCCCTTCCCTCAGGCCCAAAATAGCTCGAGCAAAGGGATGACAACTCCTCTTAGAAAAGGCACTCGAGCATGAAAGTGGAGCTTAGGTAACATTTTCCATTGCTTTTTTCCTGGTGAAACGTCATTCCCAGGCCAGCAAAACACAGAGGGCACCGTGGTCACAATATTAACAGCAGGGTTTGCACGCTCTGGTATTGACTTCCCAGAGAGAAGAAACGGGGACAATTCCTCTCCAGAGCTTGCACAGGAACCTGATATAAAACACTGAACCCAGGGCCAGGTTGGACACAGGGGCTTGGAGCAACCTGCTCTAGTGGAAGGTGTCCCTGCCCGTGGCAGGGGGTTGGAACTGGGTGATCTTAAGGGCCCTCCAACCCAACCCATTCCCTAATTCTATGAAAAACTAAGTTTGCAGCACTGGGTGTTGAGCCCAGGGTGCTCAGAGGATCACAGGTTTCCTCCTCATCTGTAGTGTCTGAGTTTACTCCATCACCAAGACACACAGATTGGGGAATATCACAGAAGAGAACTGCTTGCATTGAGTCCCAGTAGGTCTTACAGCTCCTGGTGGGGATGGCAAAGCTGCCAAGCACCCAAATGAGTTAAGGTGAAGCAGGGTTCATGTTCTGCCCCACAGAGAGGCAGCATGAAGAGGGCACCAGTTAACCACAGCCTACACAGGTACCTTAGAAAGCTACAAGGGCAAAGGATCCACCAATGCATGTCCTTGTCACCCAGCAACAAGCAGCCTGGAACCTAAGATTAATCAGTTTTGAAGTGTCTGCAGTGAGTCACAGCAGCTCTGCAGCCTTGACATCATTTTCTATGTCCTGCTGTGAGCACGGTGGCTTCACAAAATAAAGCTCCCTCCAAATGCCAAAATAAGAGAACTATCTCCATGTAGACAACTATGGAGTCTTCAAGGGACTCCTATGGAAGCTCCTTCATCCCTCTGCCTAGAGCTTCCCGGGTGTGCTTCCAACAGTGAAAAGCTCCAGGTCTCCCCACTCACCATCAAAGATGGCAGCATCGTCCTCAGTCAGGAGGTGCTCATTAGAGAGGAGATAGAGATGGTCCACCAAGGAGCAGGGCACGAGGAAAGACAGGGAGCCCTAGAAAGGTGAGGAGAAAGTGCTTCTTGTTGCTCCCCAAGCGCCCAGCTCAGCCAGATCCCCTCTGTGGCCATCACAGCTTCAAGGTGGCCACAGCAGCCCAAGAGCCACCACCCAGCCTCACCTTCTTGAGCAGGCACACCATGCCCGTGTAGGACCAAGGGCCTCGAGAGAGCTTCTTGGTACTGAAGGCAACAAGCATAGAACTTGGACCAGAACTCCACCTGCAGCTGCCAGAACTCCTCCAGTGAGCACTCGTACTCTGTCACACTGCCCTGGAACTAACAGGACACAGAGTGAGACTTCAGGTGAATACAGACAGAGAACAAGGGACAGAAAGAGTGGTGTTCAAGCTGCTGTGTTGGTGGTCTGGTCTGTCACGACCAGTGCCACATCCTCACGTGGTTAAGGTTTAGAAACAGCAGTTACAGTTCTCTTCCTTGTCAAAATACAGGTATTTCCCTAACAGCAGTGAACCACAGAGCAAACAGCAAAGGGAACAAAGCCCACAGGAACCATTTCTTCACAAGCTTAGTTAAAGTGGTGTTCCTCAGGGGTTGCTACTGAGACTGGTGCTGTTAAACACCTTTGTTGGAGACACAGACAGTGGCTTTGAGTGATGCTTCAGTGAGTTTGCTGGTAACACCAAGCTGTGTGGTGTGGTTGACAGGCTGGAGAGAAGGGATGGGGGTTCCAGAGGGACCTGGAGAGGTTGGATCAAGTGAACCTCATGGAGTTCAACAAGGCCCATGGGTAAAGGTCCTGCCCCTGGGTCAGTGCATCCCAAGCACAAATAAAGGCTGGGAGAGACTGCGTGGACCAGCCCTGAGGAGAAGGACTTGGGGT